CCAACACCCCTCCTACCCAAAACCCCGGACCCTCAACTCGAAACCGCATGGCTAAAGACCGCTGTTCCTGACTCTTGTTCCCGCCAGAACTACTCTTCCTGACACTGCTTGTGCCGGTTGCTGGCGCCGGTCGGCCTGAAACGCCCCATTTGTCACTGACACAACCAACATCTTTTCTCTGCGTAGAATATGCAAAGAGTAAGCAAGGATTGCTATTTACTGGAACTGACACTCCACTCTAAGAACACTTAACTACTATCTGCATTAGTGTTATTCTTACACCCACGCGTGTCCTTGGATTGGAGCAGAGACTCCAACGACTCATGGAGCCTTGGCACACATGGTGAATACTTAGACCCAGGTGTTTCAGTACTACATCTTGAAGTTACGGGGATGACAGAGGAACACTGGCGCATTTTCTGTTATTGCAGGGTGCACAGCCTCTTCACCACCACATGCTGATTAAGCTGCATCACGAGGAAACGTGCCTCCTCTTCTGCTGCTGAAAGACCCGTGCAAAAGGGTTGGGCTTCAAGGGCTCCCTTTCATCCCTCAGGACCATATTTGCAGAAAATGGTTGTATAGGCTGCGTAGCATGATTACAGCATTCAGAAGGTAGGCAGCCAGGAATGGTGGTTCCTTTGCTCTTGAACGCCTATGCAGGAAAGATTGCATGACGTAGTCAATGAGATCCTTTTTGGACAAGCCAAACACCCGATTCATAAGCCAATTGCAACATGGCTGGGGATGAGATCATAGCGGCAGGGATGGACCAAGGGACATGAGCGAGGTCTGCAACCTGATGCAATCCCTTCATCAACCGAAGGCAGCAGACACCCAAATCACATCGGCAACAAAAGAAACCACTAGCATGACAATGATGACTATAGAAGCCACAGCACTTCCAATAATTGCAACTTAGTACTCGCCATCACGGGAGTGACTTTTACCAGCAGTTCTCAAGTCCGAATTGCAAACTACTGTAGGCTTCTGGACTGAAGGACCCATGGACACCGGAAGCGTATGTTTGACAACCTATACCAAAAATAGAACTAGCATCCAAACGTCGTCTGCAGCTGTCTGCCCAAATGTGCACAATGTCTCTTACTATGACGGTGAAAATGACCAACTACAAGATCATTATATAATCCCCCCTCTAAATCCTGTAAGGAGTTTAGACTATAGCTCATGTGGAGATGCGCAAAAGCAAAGATCGTGGCCCCCGGCACCAGCGGATGCCTCCTTCGGGCCTCCGCAAAGCGGCGCCGGTGCAGCCAGGCCATGAGCCTGTCAAAGGTTACAGAAATGGGGCCCCTAATATGAGCTATAGTCTAAACTCCTTAAAGGGGGGTTATATAGGGGATTATATAGGGGACTACTATAGGGGTTATTAAGGGAAATACTAGGAGTTTAGAAAGTGGCTCATATGAGCCCTTAGGCCTTGTAGGGGGATTCTACGGACCCTAAGGCTACATATAGGGTATATAGGGCTTAGCCTGTAAAGACAAGAAAAATCGGATTTTGGACTCGGGGGTTTCCCAAAATTAGGGGTACCCTCAAAGGGACTATAGGGGTTCTATAGGGGTTATAAGTTATATAGGGTTTAAAAAGGGCGGAATGGAGAATCAAACAGCCAAGGAAACTGGGGATTGGGGTTTCCCAAATTTAGGGTCGCCTTGTTGGGGGTCCTTCTATTGAGGTCAACTTATGTAGGGCAATTACCATTTACTTGCCAGGTTTCCTATGCTTCTTCCGTAAGATGCGGCTGAATCAAAGCAGTGGATGGACTTACAGCATTTGGAATTTAGGCTTGCTGTTTCTATGAGCTATAGCCTCAACTACTAGCATCCCCCCTTAATCATCCCTATCATAGTGCCCAAGATAACCCCCTATGTAACCCCCTTTCAGAAGTGTAGGCTATAGGTCATATAACATTTTTCAATTTAGGGTTGATGCTTCTTTTGTCGCAGGCCTTCCTGCTGGCATGATAAATGTGAGTGAGGATTATAAGGGGTTGGGGTTCCTCGAAAACCCTGCATTGCAAATATTCTGAGACAGTTGTACAAGATTTGCAGATTGTGATTCCTAAAAACGCGCAAGGATGCATGGCTGCTGCCGAAGCTTGAGATCGCAGCTCACGTTCTTGTCTCAGTGCTATGCATGAAACATGTAGCATCAGAATACTTGCGGCACGAATGATCACAAGCTGAAGTAATCCTGCCTCTCGCCCGGGACCACCCCGTGGGATGCGAGGCACTCACAGAGGGCCTGCCACGTGAGTTTCAGCTTGCGGCCCCTTGTTGCTCTGCATAAACTCCATGTCAAGCAAGGCTTGGAGAATAGTCATGCAAGGGCGCAGACACCAATTCACGGTAATTGATTCGTCGAGTGCAAGGACGCCGCGCTGCGGCGAATTTGAATCACCTTTGCTTGGAACTCCCTGATCATCATCATCATCATCATCGTTCCTACAACTAGGTAATAGCTCTACAATTGTCGCGCTGCTGCTCTGCTACGCAATGCATCCGCAGTGAGCGCTCTTACGATCTTACTGACTACCACTGGGCTGTGTGTAAGATTTCTTCAGTCCATACACTGTACGCCCCACTGTACCCAATGCACCCCAAACCCGCTGAAATAAAACAAATCCTTTTTTCATCGCCTCATGCTCGTCGCGGAGGGATGCCAAATGCTTGGAGAGCTGACTAAGTTGGCCCTGCCTAAGAGTGTGTGACTTTCATGCCAGTTTGGGATTTAGGAGGCGGGGCCTGTGTCTGCGTTGTCGGGTGTTTGCGAATTTCAGGATGTTTGCGTTTGGGGTTTTGGGCTTGGCGTTGCTGTATCCCGGAAGCTAACACGGATTGTACAGGCCTACAGGGGTCACCTAATGTTGAAAGGGTTTTGTCTAAAATGACGGGCGGGAGTTGCATCGGCAATCCTATCTGGGCCGACTCGTGCCCGGTTTGCAGACCCATCCACATGGCCAAATGCCGATTCTGAATTTCTGAATGGAACACCTTTGCGCGCATTGCCACTTGGTCATGCAGGATGCATACATTATCCAAGACCCATGTCATCCGCCCACATTAGCCTTGGCTCCGCTGGAGTTTCCCATTGGATCAAGATCATGTAACCCAGCTGCCGTCCTCTTTAAGGAAATGCTGCATTCCAAGTAGAATGTGGCATCCAACTCCAGTGCTAGGTGCAAAACGAGATACAGATCTTGTTTGAAGTTGGCAACCACTCCACAAGGTAGAATGACCGTGCTCAAGCGTACGAAGTCTTTTCCCAGCTACCGGCCACCCCAGTATCTCGAAATATCTCAAAATAAGAGAAGCTAAGTATAAGAGCTGATCCCAGGAGGATTACAGCCATATAACGAGCTGGTTGATCACACTGATCCTCTGGTTCGACTCAAGTGCCATGCGGACCGCAAGCAGGCAACAGAATCTCACCAGCGAAGTTGGTTAGACCTTCCCCCTCCCCTCATCGCTTCTCTCAGTTTCCTGGCTGAAGGCATCTAAGGCCAAAAGCAGCCACAAACAAGCTTTTAGGGGGATAGTGATGGCAAAGACATGCCTGCTCTTGGGGCCGAGCTGTGAATGCAAAGCATCCAGCACCTGAGCTTGCGGGTTTCCATGCTAGTTTCAGAAGCGCCCCGACCTGCACTCTCTTGTTCCTAGTGAGCGCACCTGGCTCAGGGGCGCAGAGTGCTGCTGGGGAGAGCCGACGCCTTGCACAAGTTGCAGGAGTTGGTCAGACTTAAAATTTCAACCTTCATTGCAGCTCTTCACGAGCCCCTGCTACCTCACAGCTCTTGCACAGCAAGCTTGTGCCACTGCGCCTGAGATTGCCGCCCAGGAGTGCATCGGAGTCATATGCGGCAGCGAGAGAATTGCGATATCCGTCAGCCAAGAAAGGCCCACACTGAAAGCTCTTATTGATTCCCTGTGTCCCAAAAGGTGTTGGCTCCATCAGGGAACTTGAGGATGGGGGGGGGGGCACTCCACATCTTGCTATCCACATTTGGTCTAGCGCGCGACTGCCAACTGCCTCTGCGTACCTTCACTTGCGTTGTCAGTGCTTGGTGTGTTCAGCCTCTACAGGCTATGAGGTGCATCCGATCCTCAACAGTCTAAGCTGCCACAAGCCTTGACCTGCTGAGAGAAGCTCCACGTACAGGGCTGCTGCAGTTGTGTCAGTAAAGGCATGTTCTTGATCTTGCTCTTTCGTGATAGCCTGCTACTGAGTTTGCAGCTGCAGTGAAGCTGGAGCAAGCCGGCGACCGCAAAGACTGTTCTTTCTGATGACAGTGGCGCCAGAAGAGTGCGCGAGGTCTCGCAACAAAAGCCCCAGGACTGAGTTCACACAAGCAGACAAACAAACAAACAAACAAGACCTAAGTTCAAACCGCCACCACAGCCACCGCCACCACGGCCATCGTCGCCACCACGGCCACCGTCGCCACCACGGCCACCGTCGCCACCACGGCCACCGTCGCCACCACGGCCACCGTCGCCGCCACGGCCACCGTCGCGACCACCAGCACCACAACACCACCCAGCAGCAGCAGCAGCAGCAGCAGCACCACCACCACCACCACCACCACATGCATGGCACAAAAGGACTGCAAAGTCACGCGCCGCTTTCCCTCCGTACCGTCACATGTCTGGTCCTGCCGCTGTGGAGCTTGGCTGGCAGCACTGAGATGAATCTCACATCGCCACGTCACAGGCGAAGGAAGCGCCTGGCACTGGCGAAACACTATCAGTGATGTTTAGCCAAAACACGCACAACAGACTACACCAGGTTTTGAGTTTTGATGCTATTCCAGGGCTTGAAATACAATGCTGTCACATGCATCTGCATGTCTGTGCACCACTGTGTCCGTGGTTTGCTGTACAACTTGGTGCCACAGGTTGACTAATACCTGCAGGGCACGCGCCTGTTCGAGCACTGTTGGCCCAAAATGATAAAAGAGCGCAAGAGCAAGGCGCGCTTTAGGTTGCCTTGGCGTGCTGCTTCAGATGTGCAGCAAACTTCCAAGAGAGGAAGAAGAGGAACAAGTACGTGCAGAGCTGGGAGCCAGCAAAACTGGCAGATGTCATGATGGCGCCCAGTTGGGCTCCAGCACCCCGCCCCAACATCAAGGAAATCATGTTGATTGCGCCAGCACGATCCTTGAAGCGGGGTGCCACAATTTTCGGTGCCAGTGCATAGGCGTAGTTCTTGACGACCGATGCACATGACTGGACCAACAACAGGCCGATGAACATGACAGTTATGGCGGCTGCTGGCCAATCGCGGGAAAAGGGGAATGTAACCAGGGAGCACATGGCACCAAGACAAGCACTCATCTGCAGACCCTTCCTGTCCTCCAAAAGCTTTACAAGGCGGCTGCTGATCAGAGACAGCACAGAGACTACGGCCATGAATCCAGCCAGGGCAAATGCTGTCAAGGACACGCTCCAGCCCCAGGTCTTCTCCGCGAGCTTCACGAAGAAGACGATGGCCATGGTGTTGGTCAGGGCGCTGGCAAAGGCTGCAAAAATGCATACTAAGAAGCCACTGGTCCATAGAACCTCCTCCCTATCCGCTGGACTCTCATGCCTGCTTGAAGCGTTCTCATCTTCCTCCGGGTTCTCGAAAAAGAAGACCACTTTCAGGAGAAACAGATAGTAGGCTAACGCCATAAACCAGCCCGGGATCGTGTCGGAGTCCAGGACCAGGTTCTCAATCCGCAGCTCCTTGACGAAGGTTTCCAACAGCGCTGCTGCCAGCGGGGCAGCTGTGAAGGCCAGCGTAGCCATAGTGGAGAAGACAAAGAGCACCCGGGTTCTCTTCTTCACACCCACGGCCTTTGCAATGTAGACCGGCCCTCCCAGCTGACACTGGCAAACTCCGATGATCGTTCGAGCGCAGAGGATCGCGATCTTGGAGCGCATCAGTCCAGCCAGGGCGTAGAGGATGTTTCCCAAGATGCTGCCAGCCACCATAAGGATGAGGATGGTCTTCAGGGAGATGCCAGATCGAAGCATCAGGTAGTTCCTGATCATCTCAAAGAGACAAAGGCAGCACTTTCAACAGCTTTGATTCCAGCATATGCTTCAGCGTGGGATTCATGTTTGCAAGCCCAACAACAGCCTAGGCGCAGGGGGATCCCGATAAGCCCCTGAAAGAAGGGCGTCAGGGCAATGACCAGCCCACTGAAGGTTTCGCCCGCACCCAGAGCTTGTGCGTACTGGTCGGCGGTGGGAACAACGATCTCCACGTTCAAGACCAGCCTGAGTTTTTCTGTATGTAGCCGTCCACACAGATTGAGCAGCCGTATATGCTTTACAGATGAGACTTAGCTTATTGTGCTGGTCATGACAAATTGTTGCGGCCAGATGTGCAAGAACAAACCCTGTGCCGTCGAGCCGCAGGAACACCAGGTAGTTCACAAGCCAGAGGCTCTTCCAAGGCGCTTCTCGCTCCTGCGCAGGAAGTTGACAAAAGGCTCAGACTTAAGCCCGGTAGTTGTATGTGATGGTATTTCAAGGAACCATGAGGAAACCATCCCTGCTGGTAGAAGGATGGATTGGGTATGCCTCCTGCTGAGGTTGAATGCTTTCCCAGCTGACGGCAATCAGCCTTGAAACCTCGGTCACCTGATGTAAGCTCAAGCACAAAGGGAACCAGCACCAGATTTGTTTGTGTGTTTGGATACGGCTCAAAACGACACACCCACGCAATCACATCCTTGGCCCTTGACCAAACTTGAGCTTCACAACATGTAGAAATTCAGCCTTTGGGCGAAGCGGAATGCAAATAGGTTCCTGCAGAAAAGAACAGCCCAAAATCGGAACCCCTTTCCAGATCTGCTTTAGGCGAAAAAGTGAGTGTTCCCTGGATGGAGGTCATAATTCCTGGCGCAGTCTGATTTGCAGCTTCAGTACCATCAGTGTCGTTACTGACTTCCCCACAGCAGACCCAATCCTCAGGAAGCCCCGGCAGCTGCGGTGCCTCATTCTCAGCCTTGTTTCCCCTACGCGTTTGCTCATTCACCTCAGCTCTGGAGATACGTGCCGAACACACCCTGACAAGTTGTGCTCAAACGAGGATACCCTATATATCCCTTTATAGCCCATAAATCCATTATAGTAGTTTCCATTTTCTTCTCCGTTATCCCTATATAACCCCTATATAACCCCCCTACATATAGACCCCTATATAGAGAGCACGGGTTCAAGCATGCGTAGTTATCTGCATTTGCAGTGCTCAGATCGCCTCGATTTTCTTCCAAGAAAGAGGTAGGAGTCTCCGTTGGGAAAAACATGGTAATTCCATTAAGTATAGGAGGGTTATATGGGGGTTCTATAGGGAGAATGGAGAAGAAAATGAAAAATATAATAGGGATTATGTAGGGGTTACATAGGAATTATAAAGGAAATAATGGAAAAGAAAATGGGAACTACTATAATGGGTTTGGGGTTATAAAGGGTAACATGCTTAGCCTGGATCTATTGAATTCGAGGAGCTACTCAAATTGAGTGCCTAGAGCTGAATGGCATCCTTGCCAAAAAGGCCCATACAAAAGGGATCCATCATTTTAAGATTCGTGCATTGACACTTTTAAACCGTCAACCCCAATGCCCGAAATCTGAGTGAAGCTGATCGACCCCATCTGACTCCCGTTTAACCTCCAGAAACCCTGCAGAATCTCAGATGAGCACTTGTAATCCCTGCAAACCCCTGCCGTACGTTGACCCTACATCCTTCACATCTCCAATAATTTCATGGTTTGAAGACACCTGCGGAGGAAGTGCAGCCGAAGCAGCTGCAGGGGTGGACAGCTCCCCGGCAGGGCGGCCCACGACGATCGGGGGAAGGCGCCAGGAGGAGGCCTCTTGCGGACACTGATTGTCCGATCAGACAAGAACAAAGATGAAGCAACACGGAAAAGAATGATCTTAGCCAGTATGGGCGACTTCGCGCTTGGGGTGTCATCATCATTATCATCAGCAGCATCATCATCAACACATCTCCATGATGACTGTGATCGTGAGTCGGTAGTGCAAGCATCAGGAAACCATCACGACGCTGCACGAGAAGATTGCCCATTTTGAAGAGCATGCTTTGTCCACATTCGTATCAGGTACATGAGAGCCAATGGTTGACAACCAGCGACAACCACCTCCAAAACAAGGATCACCACATGCTCCATCTTGTCTCCATGTGTGAACACGAGGGAAACTCCTGGATCTTTCAAGCTCCAGATCTACTTCCATAATTCACGAAGTGTTCGCTTCCAATGCTGTAGGACATCAATTATGGAGTCAAAGCGGAATTGCTGGCTAGGAGGAATCCAGTGCAACTCTGCTTCGGATCTGCCTCCGAGTCCGAGAAAGATGGCGTGGACTGGACTGACCGAGTCTCTGTACCTGGGCTGGCAACAACACGACCTTCTTAGAAAAGCATTGTGCCAACAGAGCCGCAAAAAGTAGTCAGTCTATGTTCTTGTTAGACTAAGGACCCTGGGACAACGGCCGCTACTCAGCCCAGGCACACGTGAGCAGCATGGCCGATCCAGGACTATACGATGCGCGATCCGTCAGGGGGACTCAGCTTGACTCCAGATGGCTAGGCAGCTTGGGCAGCTGGAATCTGCACATGCATCATCATGTGCAGCCGCTGAGAGACAAACACCATTTCCCTGGAGGTCTGTTGACCTCAGCCCCACTCTGGGCCTTGTCCTCCGACTTCATCACCTGCGTCCCTGTGGGGAGTGGCGCTCCTTGCTTTGGATAACCTCGCCAAAAAACAACAACGTGTCGCCAAGCGTCTGCTGGTCACACATGGTCACACAAGGCACTGGCGCTCTCCAACGAACTCCAGTACGGCTTCGTATGGCCCGGGCTGCAAGTGTTTCTCTGGAAACCGTAGAGGGTTCTCAGCGTCGGCTCTTCTTCCCGCCCGCTACTGCTCGCATGGGCTGCCGCAAAGAAGCCTTCATGGAAGACCACCTGGCATGAGCCATAGAAACTGCTTCAGCCGTGATACCACTGTAGGTCCCAGACAGCTAAACAACTAAGCATTGCAGCTTTGATTTCACCTGCGTTTGTCTGCACAGCCCTGCAAAACAGAACTGCCAAGCCACGTTCGCCGGCCGTTCTTGTCCTCCCAAGGCAACCGCATGGAGTCCTGCCATCCAGCACACGGGTTGTTGTCATGTACCGACAAAACAAGTTGATGCTTGGAGCGTGCTGATTTGAACTGTCTAAATGCTGCTGGAGTGTAGCAGATAAACTTGGAGCCAGAAGCATTGTTCGCAACCATATAGCTGAAATCCATCCTCTTTCATGTGACATTCCAATTTTGCAAGCCTCATGCACTCTGGGCTTCGTCCACGACCTACCCACTTGCCTTCGTCTCAAGCTTCCCGCTCTCGGCCAGGTCTGGCAAGGGATCTACCAGCTTGATCTAGCCAAGATCTTGCATGTTACCGCTCTTCTCCAGTTACCGAATCGCAGAACCAGTCTCCAGCAGAAAAAATCTGATTCACTACGGTACGGGAGTCCATGACCTTCAAGCGGGGTTGAAATCAGCTTGCCCGACCCAAGTCAATCTGATCCAGCGCGCAGGCTTTCAGGCCGCAGAGACTTGAAAACTGACAGATTGCATGCCTGCTTTGTCCAGTCGTGTTGCCAGGAAGAGAACTGCCTGGCAGCAATGCGCGTTGTTGCAGCCAACTGCTCAGCTTTTCCATTAAGAAGAAACGATGAGCCCAAGTTGTTTCCCAATCACTTACATTTGTAGAATCACTGCAGAAGAAAAACAACAACTGCAGCTGCCAATTATGTCCTAAAAATCGCACTCCCAAGGACTGGGAATGTTATCGGATGTTATCGGCAAGATAGCTTTGATTTTGGCTGTCTTCAGTCGGACAGACGGGCCATGATTGCAAGATCTCCGTGGTTTGCCACTGCCATCTCACTTTGGGCTGGACCCGAGACAAATCAAGGAACCACTCATTGTCAACAAGTTCCAGGGCCAGCCCGATCAAATGTTTTGACTGACGTTCATCTGAGCCACTGGTGGGGGAGCGCTTCAATTCCCATGGACCATGAGCAGTTTCAGCATGTGGGTTCTTAGCAGGGTCTTTCATGCGCCTTTCGTGTGGGAGTTCTGTGGCTGAGTGACTTCATTGTCAGTTCGACTATGGTCGCTCTCAGAGCGGCGATACAATTTGCAGGTTAAGAAAATCAAAAGCCCCAAGGAATGGTTCATGCACCATACTAGACTATCACCTGCAGCAAATCGCCTCCATGTGGCCCAGCAGCACTTTGCGCCGGCACAGAACACGCCATTTGCCAATGCAGGCATCTGCGAAGGCCTGCAAGGTCAGTCTTTTTGAAGCAAAAGAGCGTCGAGTCTCAGATGGGATATGTGTGCCACTTAGATTGATGGGGAACGATCTCACAATCAAGCCCCGTTTCACCCTGACGTCAGCGTAAAATCCGCCGAGGCCGGAGGCTTCAGACGTTCAGATCCAGGGCTGGAAGACGAGTAAGTTAACCCACCCCCAGTGCGCACGATTTGGGGGTGCGATCAGCTCCGTTTTTTGTAGGTTTCCCGGGGGGTCAGCGTGGTTTTTCAGATTTCCGAACCCTCGGGCCTGGGTCCGAAACGCAGAGTCGTCTTGGGCACAACGCCAAAAACACGGGGGAGGAAGGGGGGGGGGGCTGGGGGAGGTCCAGGGAGGGGGGCAGAGCACGGTCACAACTGCCCCTCGCCTATGCTCTCCAGCCTCAGCAGGTTGTGCCGAGGCGGTCTCGCGTTAGCCCTTGAATTAACCTGCTTCAGCTTGATGCAGAGAAAGCAGGTGCTGTATGTTTTCAGTCATTGCTCAATGCGGGTGCACAACATTAATCATATGGCACGTAAAGACCACAATCACGAATCTGCTCAAGCCAAAGCATGACCTCAAAGAGAGATGATCACAAACTTTGTGGGGGCCCTTGAAGCATGAATGAATCCTGAGTCGTTCGTGCAATGGATGCCTCAGCAAGCCGTCCAGCATTTGCCTGCGGTCTTTAATGCAGGGCTCAGACAAGGACAATCCAGACCATTCGGATTCCTTCCACATCTTGTCCGAAGGGCTGAGGTAACGTAACATCTCTAGATTTCAGAAGACCAGAAATGTAGAGCTTATGACTTGTGAACAAGCCGACAACTGGATTTCGCGTGAAGAAAAGTCTGAAGCACTCCATGCCTGATTGGTTAGGAGGACCGCGCGTCCCCGAGGCCGCAAAACCTCCATCAGCAGACCACGAGGTGGCTCACAGCTGCGCAAACAGTTGGCACAAATGCCCAAAGCTTGGGCAGCTGCCCGCCAGAACTCGGCCACAACGGCGGGGTATAGTCGCACATTGTCTCAGGTAAAGCGGCAGAAGTCCCACGAAACAGATGATCGGCTGATTCGGCTTGCTTCTCTGGCCATCTGCTGTCGGTGACTCAGCTCCTCGCCAGCTTCTGTACCATACCTCGACAGCAAAGAATCTAGCAGAATGGAATGAACTTAGACCAAGTCTGCTCCAGGGTCGTTGTTGCTTAGTTTACGCCACAATACACTGCAATGCAACACTTGGCAAAGCTGCACTCGCCTCACACTCTCAGCAACTCTTTTCGAAAGAGGCACTAGCAATATGGCTGTTTGCATTCTGTCTGTCATGCCTAGCGCTATCATGATTATCTTACCTTGCCTTTCCAAAGAAGAGGATTTCTTGACGAGGCACTGCTTGCCAAAAGGCAGGTCACACACCACGGCATCCACAGAGGAATTCGCAAGCCTGTGGGCTGAAGCAACGCTCGGGCTGCCCATGCTACTCACGTCTGAGGTAAGGCTTTTGCTGAGAATGTTGTGGAAAGAGTTACAAGCATGCTGCACATGAGAACACGAAAACGCGGGTCAAGCATGAAACGCTTGAGGACTGAAGGTTGACGATTAGAGGTGGCCGTCTGCACGCAAAGCCCATTCGACTGACTCCCATCTTGTGTCTGCCCATGTCTGCTCTTGAAGCTGAGGACCATGCGGCAGTCGGCAGGCGTCACCACGTGCAAATGCAAGGCTCGCAGCCTTGGTGCTAAGCTTGCGGCTTGGGATTTGAAAACCTTTCTAAACGGGCCTGAATGTATCAAGCTTTTGGGGAAAATTTGTTGTGGCAGAACGCTGTAAACCTGCAATCCTAAACCCTAATGCCTACATCCTAAGCCATCCTCCAAACCCTAAGACGTAGACCCGGAACAACAAGACCTTATCATCTGTCCAGTAGTCACTGGTTTGAAAACGTTTGGGAGCCCTAGGTTTGGGCTGCATTCTCGATGGTTGACAAAAGGCTGAGGCTTAAATTTGCAATGTTGGTGTAAGTTCCATATGTCTATATATATATACAATACATCGCGTCTTGCAGGCTGGAAAAAGCATATTTGACCTTCTCACAGAAGGTTGTGTAAAATTGGATGCCTCTATATAAAGCGTCCCACCTTCAACTACGCCCTTGGATTCTCAGGCACCGTCGTCATCGTCCTCATTGTTGTCGTCATCCCCGTCGCTCCCGCCAGCCCGTGTCGCCGTCGCCGTCGTAGCAATAGCAACAATAGCGGCGCTAGCAGCACAGCAGCAGCAGAAGCAGCAGCGGATCCTTGAGGTAAACTTGCGAAAGTAACAAATGGCTGGGGCATGGCGCAACCCGCACCCCGCCCTCCCTCTCGCCATGCACAAACATCATGGCTGACATAATGACTGGATGCCCTTTAACCCATCCACTTTTTCAAGCTGCGTACACTGCAGCAAAGTTGAATATCGTAAAACCAGATGGTCTTGGAAGATTTTCGTCTAGCGCGCGATACCTGACCATATGTCTGCCGTGCAAGCTTCGCCGTGTTTGCAAGAGGCTCCCTGCTAAAGTGTCCCCTGCAAGTGTCGGAGTCTCGTCTGAGACACAGCCTGGCGAACATGGTAATGGCATGGTGGTGGTGGTGGTGGTG